GTCTCCGTCCCCGATTATGGCTCCTGGTGTTACACCATTGCTGAACTGGGTAACACGAGTGCTACGGGCTCACGTAATTTTGTCACTTTGTCAGGATTAAAATAGTAGTTGTGCTTATTTATTCCAAATTGCACCCGAAATCATATGACTACCTCTCGTACTAGTTTTTGCTAATTTTCCTCAATGTTATTTACTCTTCACGGGTGATTCGCGAGTTAAAAAGGAGCGGTCGCAGGTTTTACAAGGTCTCTGTTAGAGAAAGGTAGTTCAGATCAGCTTGAATTAGATTTGTCTGTCAAGAAATTGTTGTCTCAGCACAAGTGGAGAATTGAGAACACACGAATTAGGGGTGAAAAAAATTCAAACCACCCCTACAAAGCAGGATCCCGGTACCTCTTAGGGGTTCTTTTCAAAGTTTTCGACAGGCATCTCCGTTCTTTTTATAAAGGAGTCTCCCTGGGCTTTGAGAGGCACAGTTGAACTTGAGAAGGTTTTCAGGAGCATATTCTAGAACTTTGCGAAAGAAAGCCTGCCACATCAAGCAATGTGTTTTACAAGTATGTCGACGTCGTTTCCATTCTACACAAAATCTATTGTTTTTTTACTGTAAATACACATACATTTTTTGCTGCGTTTTCGCGTAACATTCACACTAAAACGACAGATACCGTCGATGAAAATCATGTCGGGAACTCTCGACACGCTATTAAGGGTGAAGGCTTCTGAAACCGCCAATATTGTTACATACATACATACATACATAATTTATTTGACTAAAGCAGGTTGGAGATCAAAATTGGCAAGACGCTAAGTCCTGATGTGGACCTGCACTATCTAAAATAAGGATATTTTAAGGATGTTTTAAGGATAGTGGAATGTGGCGAAAGCGGAGACTGTTTAAAACCATGGAAGTGCTCGTTTCCGTCCAAGACTGTAATCATCATGTGATTAACAGACTAATTCCTTCGATTGATCGACTTCTTAACCTTCTGACTGACTGGACCCTTTCCTGACTGGCTATTTTAACAACTACCTGCCTGTCAGACTAACTACAGACTGGTTTCCTAAAGCTGACATGTAAGGCAAAACCTCTGTGACTAACGTTCCTCAAACTTCGTTATCAATGAAGATGTGCTATGACCACCTGCCAGATTGTTGCTTCTTTTCGGAAACAAAGTTTGCACGAGACTTAAGCCCTGCTCGAACGGACTCGTAGAGACTTGCGTCGGGTGGCCAAACGGACTCGCAAGTTTCCTCGCAAGCGAGGTACACGCTGGTCGCAAAAAAACCCATTTCAAGGCAGACATATCCTGCATTTCATTGGCTAATAATAGGTTAATGGACGTCACTCAACTTGCGTTGACTTGGTTTGGGTGGCCAAACGGTGAAAAACTTGCGTCGACTTGCGTGCAAATTTGAACTCGACCATAGTGAGCAAGTCATCGCAAGTCAACGCAAGTGCACGCAAGGCCTGGCCAAACGGAGTCGCAAGTAGACACAAGTTGAGAACTTGCGTCTACTAGCGACTCCGTTTGGCCAGGGCTTTAATCAGTGCGACCCATTATTGACTCATGAAGAAAACTCGTTAAAAAATACACTGAAGTTTTAGAAGTTTTCATCAGCTTTTCGTGGAGGCACGGTGGCCGAATGGTTAGCAGGCTACTCTGGACTCCAGATCGAGCAGTTATGCTTTCGAGTCCTGGCTAGGGTCATTGCCCTAATCCTACCTCCCACAGTGCTTCTCTCCAACCAGGTGCCTAAATGGGTACCAGTGAATTTAATGCTTGGGGATAACCCTGTGATGGACTAGCATCCCATCCAGGGGGAGTAGAAATACTCCTAGTTGCTCTGGCTGTGTGGACAATTGCACTGATGTCCACTTTTTTATTGACTCATAAGGAAAGCTTTTTGAAAACACATTAAAGCTTAGGAAGTTTGAATCAGCTTTTTGAAGACTGATATAAATGCACAACACATGCAGTATTATATTCCATTATTATAAATAACAATCCTTTTTTTACTGACTCATAGGAAAAGCAGATTTAAAATATACTTAAGTTTTAGAAGTTTTAATCAGCTTTTTTGGAGATTGATATAAATGCACAATGCATCCAATATTATATTCCATTATAAATAACAATGCAGTATTATTAAACACCACTAAATATCTATAACCAGATCAATTTCTATGATATGTATTGCCTTCTAACAAGAAAACTTAACAGATCCAAGAAATGGAGACAGCTCTCTGACATTACTAGCAATGACGTCCACTTCTTCCTCACTTGGTAAAAAAGAGAGTCCAGAAACATCGAGCACTTCAAGAGATGGGCAAGCTAAATTGATGTGGTCCATTAGCAGTGATGTGCAGGAGACAATGTGAACTTCCTTGAGGTGCGCACTACTCAGATTGAGCTGGCATGGGCCATAACAGTTCCTCAAGGTCAGAGTCTTGACAAGGCCACACTGCTGGATTATGTCACGTAAGGGACAATCAAGGTTGCAATATTCCAAGGACATGTGCTGAATGTTACAACTGGTAAAAGCTAGTGCATTGAGATTGCACCGTTTTAAAACAAGATGGCCAATTTTCACAGGGCGTGACCTGTTTCTAAAATTCAGCTTAGTAAATTCAGCTGGCTTGACGAGATCTAACCTCCTTTCAAAATTCACCTCCAGGTATTTGACCTCCTCAGCATCAATGCTGACTTTCCGAAGATAAGGCACATCATTAAGAACAACCTTCTTGACATTCTGTGACAAGACTGACACCACTTTCAAGATGGTGGATCTAGTCATCGACTTCTTGATGAGCAACTCCTGCAGTTTAGGACAGCGAATGTCAACTGCAGTCAAACGCTCACCATTGTCAAATATTGCAACATTTTCCAGTGATGGAGTTGCATGCTGATCAAGTCTTAAACTTGACCAGTACACCTCAAGCTCTAGTAACTTGATATCTGGATTTCTAACCAAAAGGCTAATGAGTTCAGCTGGAATAAGAGCATTGCATCTTCGAACTGTCAACTCACGTAAGGAGCTTGCAGAGATTCTCCTAAAGTTGCGCACCTCAACACAGAGCGATAGACGCAAAGTCCTTAATGCAGATGCTTCAATACTCAGTTCACCCACAGAGGTACAACCATTCAAGCTAAGCTTTTTTGCATGAGGAAATGTAAAGTGGAACTTGGCAAAGTCTCCAACTTGGAAGAGCTCCACTTCCAGTAATGATTTAGAGTTCAATTGAAGCAGCTGAATGGATGGCAAACCATGAATTTGGTCATTCCCATAGCCAAATTTCCTTAGCCCTTTCAGATTCTTAACAATGTCTTTGAGATCAGAAGACTCCATTCTCACTCTCTCTAGCAACAAACATGTTACGTGGTGGCGGTACTTGGAAGACACAACGCCTTTAACTGCAGTGACAGAATCTGGTTTGATAACTGAATACTGCAAACCAAAGCTTTTCACTTGGGGAAAACCTTCGACAATGTACTGTAAATCATCTTGATTAAAAATTCCTTCTGATATCAACGAAGCTTCTAGGAACACAGTCTTCAGTGATTTGGGGCATCTCAACATTCGAAGTAGTTTCTTTGACCATGACATTCCAGTTATTTCAAGAGTATTCAAAACTGTTAGGGAAGATGCATAAATGAGTAGGATTTCTGTGAACAGTTCGTGGCATTTTTGAAGCCGCACAAGCTTGATATGACGGCAAAATCTTCTGAGGATATTTTTGAATCTGACAAAAGTAGCATTCTCGTAGCTGCAGTTTCTGAGATTTATTAGGGTGATGTCCTCCCAAAGCGTAGGATCGGGATTTGTATAGATGAGATCTCGCCACTTCTTGCAAACTAAACTTATCGTAAAAAGGTCGTCGTGTACGGGGTGAAATTTCTTGAAAATGGCCAACCACAGTTCCGATGGCAATGCGATGCCGAACTCAGCATCCCTATGACGTTCCTGCTCGAGGGAAGCCATGTTGCACTGCTCAGCCTTTCTTTCTTAGCTGTAAAAAACGGTTTCATTGCTTCTCTGTAGAAGCAGGCCATGAATTTAGTGACGGTACATCCTGTAAATTTTATCGAAGGGAGCCGCCATGTTTATTTTGCAGCCTCGTTGCAATGATGCAATAAACTTGATTTCAGCGAGGAGGTCTCAGGAAAAAGTTAACAAGTAAACCTCCAAGAGTTAAATTTCCCGGATCAGTTGTTATCGAAGAACAGGTTAACAAGTCAAATCATAAAGAGGGTTTCATTCTGGATAAAACGTTTGAAATACGTCCTCCAAGAAAAGAAAAGAAAAGAAAAGGAAAGAAAAAAAAGTAATCCCCACCCTCCCCCGATGTTACGTAATTTTTGTAGCGCAGGACGCGGGAGTTCTAAACTCCCTCCCAGAAGTCCGCCAATTTTTTTGTTTTGTGCAAACGTGGTTTTGCTTCAACTTCATTTCAGTTTAAATTTTATCGACTCCAGTAGATAATGTTGCGTTCATCCTTTGTTGAGGAGACAGCGAACCCTTGGTCACCGTCCTCTACATATATTAACGTCGGTTCGTTACAAAATATTCTAACTTTCGCTGAAAAGTCAGGTCACATTGACAGGGTAGGTAAGCTTATATCGCCCCGTAAAATATTTCCCTCGTTTTGTCCCGTATTTAAAACTTTCTTAAATAATTTTTAGGCTCAAAAAGAAGGGAAAGACTGAGACTGGCTTACTGGGTGTTACCTTTGGTGCCCGGGAGGTACTTTGGAAATTTCTGGGTATGTGCCGCTGGGACCCAGGGACCCTTAGCCTAAACCAGAGTTAGTTCAGTTGAATTTTGCTACCCTATACTAGAGTAAACTCCTCAAATCCCCCCATCTATCATCACGGTGGAGGCTTATTTGCGTAAATTTAAACTTACCGATTTGACTTTTTCATATTTTTGAGTGGCAATTCCTGGTTTCCTTAGTCTAGGTAAAATCTTCAGCCAACTGGTCAGTTTTGCAAAAAATGATACCCTATTCTAGACCCAAATGCTCTGATTTATATGACGTATCCTAGAGTAAACTGCTTGAAAACCATACCCTCCACAGTGGCACATACCTATATAGCCCATATATGACAGTAGCCACCCCTGGGCTTCGGTTTCTTTGGTTGCTGATAAAGTTTCAGCATGCTCTTGCAAATTTGTTTTGAAAACTTAGCCCTAAGGGTCCTTGTTTTGTTTCTTTTTCATTTAGAGGAATGTTAACATGGAAGAAATTAGGAGAAAAGTGGATACAAGTTCTCCTTCAGTGGCCTTGATAAGATTACTGAGAGAAATTACAAGACTGGGCAAAGCGTTAGACAAGGTAACTTTCAGATAACAGTGCTGCTCTGACTAGGGACAGGGAGAAACATGGAGTGGTGGTGAAATGGATTCTTCTCTTTGCACCCTATTTTTGCTGTGATGCTCATCATTGTTTAATGTATAGATTTAGCCAAGCCTAAAAACAAAGCTCCTGGGCTGGGCTGTTCAAAGCCCAATTAAGGTGGCTTACTACAGTTTTGATGGATTATGACAGCCCAACTGCTAACTCTTTTCAAAAATGTTCCAAGATGTTATTCCTTTCTCTATTTACTGTTTGCTGAAGTCTTTTACCATTTGATGTGAAACTTGAACAATTCAACATCAAGAAATGACCGAAATGAATGACCAAGTACCTAAGGAGAGACTGGGCGCTAGTATGTTAAATCAGGTTTTTCTCAAAATCTACCCGTATGACCCAACCTCAAAATTTCAGGGATAAGAAATTGGCTCTGATTTTTAAATTTTTAAAACATTCATGCAAAGTGAAATAAAAATCTGTAAGACAGATTTTCCGCAAACCAAGAAATTATGAGATCAAAAATAGCTCAAAATCTGTCTTACAGATTTGTTTTAAATTTTGGCTCTAAACGCGATTCACCCCCACAAATCAAATGTGAAAATTTCATCATGGGTTGTATGGTAGGTTTTCGAGCAGTCCTTGATCATAGACTCGCTTCTACAACCTTGGGCAAGAATTGAATTGCGCATGCCCTTTATTTAAGTGCGCTGATGTGACGCCACGTATTACGTGCGAGAAAGCAAGAGTAATTGGAGCTCTTTTACTGGTTATTTATAGAGCTTTTTTGTCATATTTTTTTGGCCCTAGGCTTAAACACATGTTTGAACAGAGTTTGAAACTGTTGCTATTGTTGTGTTTTTTAACGCCTTTCAAGTGCTGAAGTGGTTTTTGTTTCTTCTTAGGGTTACTTGTGTCATTTCTGCATGCCTGATTAATACTGACCTCTGGCAGGCAATACTAGTGTGTGCTACTGAGTCTCAGAAAAACTATAGTAAGCCACCTTAAGCTAACCCAGAATAAGTGCGATTTTTGATTTGAGTTTTGTAGCTTTGCAGTGAGATTTTTTGTTTATATTGTTTGGCCTTGTGTTTTGAGTTTGAATAACTTCAAAATACACAAAAAATAAGCAGTGAAAAACATTTGTATACAAGAAAAATTTATACTTCGCTTAACTTTTAATCCTGAGTTAGCATTAACCGGCTTCCGAACAACCCCGCCCAGATTACAGCAAGTTAACCTGACAAAAGCCTGCAATCCAATCGAAAGCCAGCAGTTGGTCAGCGGTCAACTTAAAAAAAAGCGCATGACCTCAATGAGCTTTAAACTTGAGCCCGCGATATGGTCATGTGATACTGGTCAGTGGATACCTTCTTTTGACAGGTGTCAATTGTCCATAACTTGGATGTCCAATATCAAAGACGGGAACAAAGGCTGCATGTCTCTGTCAACCTATAAGCTGGAGTATGGCTGCCATCTTGTGCGGCTCTGTCGTCGCTATGGCTGTCGTGTGTACGCGGCCACAAGCAATTCTGCTAGCTATGATAACCATGAGAAAATCAATTCATGGGCTTCCTTTTCTTTCCTATATGAGTATGGGGTTCCATTTGGCGGCTCTTTGTGCCACCGGAGCTCAGCTATAAAATAGCTAGAAAAGCCTTGTTATTGAACTCGGTGTCTGTCAGCATGCATCATAATCCAATAATGCATGCTCATGGCATAGGTAGGTAAAGTCTGCATACGAGCCAAGTGGCCCACCAGGCTGGAGCTTATCCCAGTTTCTGTAGCATGAAGCGACTAGGAGTATTTCTACTCCCCC